TCTTTTTTATATGTCTGTCTTTGTTTATTTGATGTTCATGGAAATGTAATCATTACAGACTTGGTTCTAGGTGATGTTTTATGATTGTAATATGTTTTTTTATACTTAGCCGCCTCTATGTCGGTCCAAAATTTTATGATTGACGATCGATTTAGGGTTAAATTTTTTAGATTACCGACAAGATAGATCTAATTTGCAGCTATAAAAATACTAAAATAATTACTGGATTATTTATAATTAACATTAGATTATTACTATCATAAAGAATTTAAATCGTTCATATTAATTTTTACTTTTATTTTTTTTTATTTTTTTTTTGTGAATTCACAAATACTTACCTTAGTTTTTTCTTATTTTATTATTATGTTCCATATATTATTTTCATCAAAAGTTTATAAAAATAGAATAAATTCATTATATGCATGCATTCTGCCCAAATGACTTCATAATAATTTATGACTCAGACTCTAGAAATTAAGTTTTGTACAGTGTATCTATACCTTCTATTAATAAGCTGCTCACTCGAAAACCAAACACTCATGCTCATCCTAGCCTTATGTATGATACTTTCACACAGCGATTACGTCTTGAAAATCTGATTTTTCCATCGTAAGTTATGAAAGTATTATGAGTTTCATTATTGACACTAGTTCAGTACCACTCAAAATATTTTTTTTCTACAAACTCATCCAAAATCGATTAGAAATACTTCTCATCCTTAAATAATTGGTCTTTCATGTGTTTACACTAATTTTATACAAATAAATAGCTTCTGTTGTTATCTCTTAATTAGATACAGTTCAAAACCTAAACTTTTACCATACCATGTGTATAATTATATCTCGTTCCAATAGTTATCGACACATTTGTATAAGTAGCATTTTTTTTAAAAGCAATTTATGGGAAAAATTTTAGTTCATATATATGTGTAAGTATCCAATTCTTTAACCTAGATATTTTCGACCCACTCGATTACACATACTTTATCTATTATAATTTTAATCTAAAAGTTTGATCACTAGGTTTTTTTCTTGTTTTATCAATATCGTCTACTTAAAGAATATAGGCTTTTCTTAGTACATCAATATTCTCTATTTTCTTTCATTTTCGACAAAAGCTTACTTGAATTATATATGCAATTGCAAAAATTTTACATATTAAGAGACTATTAAATGAGATTGTAATGTTCTTGTATTCTGTTCAAGCATATTTTGTTTCTATTCTATTATTATATCTTAGTTACTTGATGCATAAAATTTAAATAGAAATATAATTAGGCTAACTTTATTTCGTATCTTCACTTTTGTAATTATAGATCTATATTCTCACTTGTTAAGTGAGTGATTATGAAATATTTAATTTGATTTGGAATCAGAATGTTCATTTCATTTAAATATATCTCTTATTTGTATCATATTTTTCTTTCTATTCCACACAAGTGAACTCAAGACTAACTTAAACTAATTGTAATCCTAATGTAGCTTGCTTTTTTTATTTTCAGGTTTGTGAAGAAACCATATTTCCATAGGAGCTTCTACTGATCATTGGTTGTTGGAGATCTGCAACCTTTTCCATCATGGAAAATCAAGGGAATCAGCACAATGTGGCTCGTGATGCTGCAACTCGTAATGCAGAAACTACTCCAATCTTTGTAGGAGACTCCTCTAATTCTACAGGGAATCAAAACTATTTCAGCGTTCAGCAGTTGCTCAATAGAGATGACTCTGATCATATGAGGAATGGGCACTTTGCTTCTCGAGGAGCTGATTCGAGCAATCTCCCTCGGGATGTAGACATGAATGAAACTCCTGAAGGTAATGGAGTTGGCGAAAATCATAACTGGGGGAGAGGAGTATCCTTATCTCCATTTAATTTGGGTGGCTTAGAATCTACTATAAATCCTTCTGGCCCACCTGTAATTTCTTCTGGAATTTCAGGATATGTGGTAGAAGAAAATAATGTTAGGGAGGTTCTATCAAGTGATGGTAGGCGTATATCCTTCAAAAGAGGAGCACCTGAATATGTTTTCCGTCAACTGTTTGCAGGAGATGGTTCAAGCTATGGAGAGAGAGCTGGAGATCATCCTAGTGAACAACTTGCTTCAAATGGCCTAGCATATCTCAATCATGGCAGGTTAAATTCAACAGGCTCCTGGAATAATCACCTTATGAATGCTAATCACTCAATAGTGTCCATTGTTGTAACTGCGTTTAGCGTGGAAGCTGAAAGCTCTTCTCCAGAACTAAACTCAAGTGTGGAAGCAGGAGGTCCACCAGTTTTCGGGCAAGCACTTGGTGCACACCAAGCTTCAAGTGCGGCGAGGCAAATGCATGTCTTCGGGAGAAATACTCGATTGAGAACCGAAAACCAACAAGATGTTGTGCCTGAATCATCATCAGCTCAGACAGTAGGGAACCCTATAGGATTATTATATCAACCGGATTTTGTTCTTCCTTCTGATCAAGTTCTTAATGAAATCACAGAATCTCAGGTTCTTGCCAATGCAAATTTGGCAGCACAATTGCCTATTGTAGAGATCCCAAATCTTGCACAAAGTCTACAACTTTCTGAATTGAGTAACGAGGTAAGTAGATTGGTACATCAGGAAGAGAACCCGATGAACCAAGCGAGACCAACAATGCCTTCCAACGAAGGTACGAGCACTGACGGGGCAGAAGGGTCGCCGAATGCAAATAGAGCCAATGGGAATACGAATAGAAATATTCCTAGCAACGTTGATTCTTCTTTCCGAAATGTATCTGGTCCAAGTGTCGAGGTACTGCCTGCTCCAAATAACTCCCCTCAACCAACCATGGGTGGTGAAGAAGAGGTCGAAAGAAATACTATTACTGTGAATCAGCCTGAGCGACGTAGACGTGGAATGCGGGGTCCAATACCTTCAGGTGCTCCTGCTGTTGCAAGACGTGCGGAGACTCCATTCAGAGGTGGAAATAGAAGTTCTTCTCCCCTACCTTTGAGGACGCGAGCTGTACCAGGTCCTCCTGACGTTTCTAATTTTCCACCTCCACTCCAATTTTTGACTGATGCTGAGAGAAGAAGCATAGCAATTCGGGTATGTATCAAAAACATTATTGTTTACTGTGGGTTTGCTTCATTTAAAATGTTTTTTTTGGAGAATGTGTCTTGAAGAAGCCAAAAACTTTTGCTTATTCTTTCTTTTTCTACAAAGATTATTATCTCACAAGGATACTACTGGGGGTAATTAACTTGGTTTACCTACCTCAGCAACTTTAAACTAAATAGTAGATAAGATAAAACACAAAAGGTAAGTCAAAAAACTTATAGAATTTTTTAATTTGATCAAGTGGTAGGATAAATACCAGTAAGTGATATAGCAACTGCATGTCCCACCTATGTATTCCATATATTTTTAAATATGTAATATTATTTTTCTCTCTGGTTACATACCCTTAAGAATATATATATATACATCTATATATATATATGATATTTTGGTGAGAGATTTCATGAAAAAACTGAAGACTTGATTGTTAAGAACTGGATATTAGATAATTTGGACAATGTTGAATGTTAAACCATATATTGAGTGGTATGGTGTGATAATATTATTAACACTCCTCTCAACAAATATATTAGACATGCTCATAGGGTTGAGACTCAGTGGATGGAGGTAAAATTCCAGAAAAATTTTAGGTCATCCCAATCAAATTCTATGTTAGTTTGATGAAATGCTTTTTAATAAAAATTACTCCTTTGAAAATAAAATGTCTCCTAAAGAAGAAAAGTTTGAACCTAGATTCTTATCAATTTCAATCACTTGGTATTTCATCTTCAAATGATGTAGATGATGTATTGATACAAATTATTATTATTTATATAAATATCTATTATACGTTGTTTAAAATTGAGAGAAGACAAGAATGTTCCTCAATAGTTAGGTTAAACTGAAGTATTAAATTTAGATGATATATATTTTTTTTATTCTTGGTATTGTTTTCTTTTGCATGGATTGGATGATGGCATTCTAGGAGTTTGGCATGATGAATGGCATTCTTTACATTGCCAATAGCGATGATGAAGATGAGGAGGATAATCATGGAGACATGAACTATGAGGTAATCATACATTTCTTTTTTTGTAGTTGTTTTAGTTAAAAGATTACAAAAGAAAGTAATACACAAGTCAAGATATTTTTTTAACTATAAAAAAAACATGCTTTATATATATAAGTATGTACGAAATATATACGTATATATGTCATCTCTATACATATATATTATGGTGATATTTTTTCGAAGTAAATTATGATTTGTTCACTAGGAGTTTCTTGAACTTGAAGTTCAGATTAGATATGTCAACAATGGGTTAGCTGAGCCGATAATCCTCGACAATTTGGGCTTGAGGACATATCACTCTACTCCATCTAAACCTGAAATGTGCTGTATCTGTCAAGTAAGAGCTTTGGTTTACAGAATAAGAAATAATCATCCATTAATTAATGAAACTAAATCATGTTTTGATTCATAACTTGCAGGACGACTATGAGGATGGAAATGAAATTGGAAAACTGGACTGTGGGCATGAGTTTCATTCCAACTGCATCACAAAGTGGCTGGTGATACATAACACCTGTCCTCTCTGCAAGAGGAAGGGGTTGAATGTGGCCGCTCACTAATCCCACCATGACTGAACAATCATATATTAGGTCATACATAGTTATGACCTTTTAAAAAATATTATCTTATTTTTCTTTATCGTTTATTGGATATAAATAAGGCCGGATATGGTCATGTCAAAGACATTTATATATAACTTGGTATCTTTTATTATGATAGTACTTTTTTTATTATACACAAAGTCTTCTGATTCTTCCGGGCTTCTTCCTTCTATGGTTCTATGAGTTTGTGCTGCTCATGGATCCAAATAAAAAGATTTTGTGGTTATGGATTGAAGCCTCTAAATGGAAACAGAATCATTGAGCTTTGTGGGTTTTGTTGAAGGCAATGTGGTTACTTTGAGACTTTTTAAACAATTTTTATGTCAAGGCTGGTTTGATGCTACACCTTTTATGATTTGATATTTCTTTTGCAATGGATAATAGTTGTGTTTTTTGTACCTTAATTATTTTTATCTTTATATTTTGTGTTTTTATTATTAATTGCATGATTATTTTTAATTATATTGTTAAAATTATTATCTATTATCTATAATATGGATTTAGTGAATGACGAGAAATATTTTATTTTTTTTGATTCATTAGGTATAGTTTTTAAAAATAAAATTCACCATTAGAGTTCCTTTAAAACTATTAGGAGAAGGACTTAATTTAGGATAGATAGAAAATTATTTATTATTATTGTATTTAAGTAGGTCGTTTATTGTTTACTAAGTTTATCAAGTGAATAATTGTCTTGTATAATATTATGCCGTAAGTAGATATTTCTATTTTTTTTCCCTCAATATTATTGTTTGTCAAGGAATTATTTTTTATTTTACTTTTATTTCTCAAAAGTTTAAATATATATATATATATATATATTATATCAAAATGTTAAGAAAAATATGTCTTTTTCAACTAAAAATATTATTTATTTTTAAAATTAAATAAAAATATTCTTTGAATATAAAGATATTATGTAACTAAATTATATTTAAGTATATTTTATTTTTCTTGGAGGTAATAATTCTTACACTTGTTATTTTACAAGTCATTTTGATATTATGCCATAACTAGGTGTCTCTATTTTATTTTTTTTTCTTCTCAATATTACTAACTTGAATTATTTTTATTACATGAGAAAAATAAGAATTTTTGCCTTATAATTTTTAATATTACTTTTTCTCCTCAATATTTCTTTAAAAAATTAGTGTGACCATTGTAGTGCCCATATCCTTATATGTGTGTATATATATATATATATATGTATATATACTTGTGACAAATACTATTTTCAAAAACATATTTTTCAAAGCATTTTATCTTTGTCTACAACCTCATAATGAAATATTCGATATAATAATTTTTTGTTAGATGTCGCAAAATAATTTTTTGTACCTCATAATGCATTTGGTGAGGCAAGAACACATCATTACGGACTTTATATTTTGCAATATTAATTTTATTGTTTTTGAAAAATATTTTTCATGTATTTTGAACAAATTTACGTCATCATAATTTTATTTTAATTGTAGTTTTGTTATTTTCAAAATTAATTTAAGCTAATAATAAAATTAAATACTAATTAAAAATTAATTTATAGTAGATTCAAATTGTGCATCTTACTCTAAAATTGGCAATCCAAACGTATGAAGTTAATATGTGAAATTTTAGGTTGACCCACGAGTTAATTGTATTAACTATGAGACATGAATTAATACGAGTTTACATCATAATTATAATATTAAAATTATTAAAGAAAGATCTTATTATAGTCAATCTTTAAATGGGCATCACTTTATATATATATATATATATATAAACACGTCTAGCACCATTAAAAAATCTATATATCCAATGAGGATACCATGTATAGGAGCATAAAATGTATATCCACTTTGTTTATCACAAACCTTACTGAAGTCGGTGGGTTTTTTGGGGAGAGGATAAATTTGATGACTTGGGTTTGATTTACAAAAGAGTCAATTTTTCAAAAATTTGAATCTTAAATTTTTTACCAAAAAAAAAAATATATAATTAATAATTATTATCTTATATAAATTACATAAATAACTTATCAAATTATTAAAAATAATGAATTTAATTAATTTAACAAATTTAACGGTCAACTAATAAATAACAGTCTTATTAATTAAAATTCAAATATTTGTTGTTAATGAATTCAAAAAATAAAAACACAATAGTGTCTGCAGTAAAATAAACTTATAATTATTTCTGTGTAAACTCATTTTTATGGAGAGAAAATAAATAGAATAAAGAGAGACAAAAGGGCATGTATCAAAAGCTGGCAAATGCGTTACATAATAAGGGCTACTGGGTAAGGTACTATACTCCCTTACTAGTATATTTGTTTGTTTTTGTTAATGCATTTATGATTTGACTTATCATTAGAAATTTCTATGAGTAAGAATTATTACCCATTAATTATATCTTAAAAACTATCCAATTCATTGTATAAAAACTCATCAACTGCCTCTGTTCCCAATTCACATACAACTTTAATACAGAACTCATTTTCACTTTGTCCTTGAGAAATTTCACTGATCATTTCAACTATTTTGCTTCTCTTCATCCTAATTGGTATAACCTGTTCTCCTTCTTTTGGTTTATCTTTTTCATTTATGGTTAATACATTTATAATTTTTTATTTATGATATATTTATTCTTCATTTATTTGTAATAATTTATCTGTGATATACCTATTCTTTATATATCTATATTTTTTTATCTGTGATATATCTGTAATTTATATATATATAATTTCATTTCTATTAAACATGTGATTTATCTATATTTTATATATACATAATTTTTTATCTGTGATCTATTTATGTTTCATGAATTGATAATATATTTATACTTTTTTATTTGTATTTATGTGGGTGTGAATATACATGTTTGAATTTGGAATCTGAGTGATGTTGATTGTTCTTTTCTATTAATTTTACCCTAAATCGATTTGTTTATATTTGATTTGATGTTTTTATCATTATTAGTTATTGGTCGTAAGCTTTGGGTATTTTATATTGGGATTTCATTTATGTTTTACATTTTTTTGTGGGGCATCACTTTTAGACCTACCCGTTGTGTATTTTACTAGAGAATTTATTTATGTTTCTTTTTTGTTGTACTTCATTTTGGTATCTTGATAAATCTAAATTTTTTATGTATATTTGTGGGGTTTTTTTTTTTTTTTTTTTAAAAAATTTCAGCTCGGTTTTTATATATATATATGTATATAACTATATGTATTGCAAACATCAAATCAAATTGGTCGGTCAAAGAAGCACCTCTTGATTTTCGATAAAAATATTTTCTTATTCTCAGTTTCTACGCTAATAATTTACAGCTATGAAACATCTTTTTACTAAAATAATTACTGGGTATTTATAATTAACATTAGATTATTACTATTGTAAGGTATTTATTTACATTTTTTAAGTTCATTCATATTAATCTTTACTTTTCTTCTTTATTTTTTCTTATTTTATTATTATGTTTTCATATAGTGTGTTAATTAAAAATTTATAAAAATAAAATAAATTCATTGTATGCATACATTCTACCTAAATGACTTCATAATAATTTATGACTATACACTCTGTAAATTAAGTTTTGTACAATAGATAAATATATCTATTGTACCTTCTATTAATAAGCTGCTCACTCAAAAACCGATCATTCATAGTCACCCTAATCATAATAAGCATGAAACGTTCACAAAGTAATTATAATTTGAGAATTTGATTTGGGTCATTCTAAATTATTTGAGTGTTGTGAATTTCACCATACAATAATTCTGTACCACCTAGAACATTTTTTTTTTTTTATAAACACATCCTTACATAATTGTTGTACAAATAAATAGTTGATACTATTATCTCTTAATAAGATGCAGTTCAAAATCTAAACTTTTGCTATACCATGTGTATAAATATGTCTCGTTCTAATAGTTATCAACACAAGTATATAAGTAGCCTTCTTTTATAAGTAATTCATACAAAAAAATCGTAGTTCATATGTATGCATGAATATTCAATTCTTTAACCTCTGATACTTTCAACCCACTCAATTACACACACCACTTATATTATAATTTTAATCTAAACTTGTCTAGCAATCACTTTCCTTTACTAAAAATATCACAACTTTATATGTCAAACATTGAAAAAAAAATTGATTGTTCATCGCATATCTATCCAGCTAAATTTATTATTGAGATCACCTTGATTATATGGTGGGCTCATGCTTCAATTATAAGTGAGTAACTATATTTAACTCGATTTTGATATATAATTGGTTTGGAACTTGAATGTTAATTTTATTTAAATATATCTTTTATTCGTATCATATTTTTCTTTCTATTTCTCGTAAGTGAAAATCAAGACAAACTCAAATTAATTGTAATCCCAATGTAACTTGTTTTGTTTTTTATTTTCAGATTTGTGGAGAAACCATATTTTTGAAGGAGCTACGACTGACTGCGATCTTTGCATCATGCAAAATCAACTTAACCGTTCTAATTCCTTAAGAAGAAGCTATGAAGTTGGCCATGGAATTGATGTCAACAATCGTGGATCGAATCAGCACAATGTGGCTCTTAATGTTGCAAGTAGTAATACGGAAACTATTCCAATCTTTATAGGGGAATCCTCTAATTCAACAAGGAATCAGAATTACTTCAGTGTTCAGCAGTTGCTCAATAGAGATGAGTATGATCATATGAGGAATGGGCATTTTGCTTTTCGAGGAGCTGGTTCAAGCAATTTCCCTCGGGATGTAGACATGAATGAAACTCCTGAAGGTAATGGAGTCAGCGGATATCATGACTGGGGGAGAGAACTATCCTTACGTCCATTTAATTCAGGTGGCTTAGGATCCGCCATAAGCCCTTCTGGCACACCAGTAATATCTTCTGGAATTCCAGGATATGTGGTAGAAGAAAATAATGTTAGGGAGGTTCTATCAAGTGATGGTGGGCGTCTATCCCGCAAAAGAGGAGCACCTGAATATGTTTTAGGTGAATTGTTTACAGGAGATGGTTCAACCTATGGACAGAGAGCTGGAGATCATCCTAGTGAACAACTTGCTTCAAATGGCCTAGCCTATCTCAATCATGGCAGGTTAAATTCAACAGGCTCCTGGAATAATCACCTTATGAATGCTAGTCACTCAGCATCGTCCACTGTTATATTTGGGGTTGACCTGCAAGCTGCAAGCTCATCTCCACAACTAAACTCACGTCTGGTAGCAGGAAGTCCACTGGTTTTGGGGCAAGCACTTGGTCCACACCAAGCTTCAAGTGCGGCAAGGCAAATGCATATCTTCGAGAGAAATACTCGATTGAGAACTGAAAACCAACAAGATGTTGTACCTGAGGCATCATCAGCTCAAACAGTAGGCAACCCTATCCGATTATCATATCAACTGGATTTCGTTCATCCATGCGATCAAGTTCTTAATGAAATCTCAGAACCTCAGGTTCCTGCTAATGAAACTTTGGCAGCACAACTGCCTATCGTGGAGACCCAAAATCTTGCAAAAAGCCTACAACTTTCTCAATTGTGTGACGAGGTAACTTGGTCGGGAGGTGCCTTATCAGCTGCCTCTCCTGCCACTCATGTTACGAATGGAGGATCTGGTGTACATCAGGAAGGGACCCAGATGAACCAAGCGAGACTGACAGTGCCCTCCGATGAGGGTACGAGCACTAACCGGGCAGAAGTGTCGCCAAATGCAAATAAAGCCAATGGGAATACGAATACAACTATTTCTAGCAACGCTGCTTCTTCTTCCCGAAATGTATCTGGTCCAAGTGTCGAGGTACCACCTGCTCCAAATAACTACTCTCAACCAACCATGGCTGAAGAAGATGTCGAAAGAAATACTAATACTGTGAATCAGCCCGAGGGACGTAGAGGTGGAATGCGGGGTCCAATACCTTTAGGTGCTCCTGCTGTTGCAAGACGTACGGAGGCTCCAACCAGCGATGGAAATAGAAGTTCTTCTCCCCCGCCTTTGAGGATGCGAGCTATACGAGGTCCTCCTGGCGTTTTTGATTTTCCACCTCCGTTCCAATTTTTGACTGATGCTGAGAGGAGAAGAACGGCAATTCGGGAGGTATGTATCAAAAACATTATTGTTTGCTGTGGGTTTGCTCCATGAAAAACGTTTTTTGGGAGAATGTGTCTGGAAGAAACCAAAAACCTTTATCTCACAAGGATACTACTGGAGGTAATTAACTTGGTTTGCCTAACTCAGCAACTTTAAGTTAAATAGTAGATAAGATAAAACAGAAAGAGTAAGAGAAAAACGTATAGAATTTTTTAATTTGATCAAGTGGTAGGATTAACACCAGTAAGTGATATAGCAACTGCTTGATGCATGCATGTCCCACCTATGTATTCCATATATTTTTAAATATGTAATATTATTTTTCTCTTGTGTTATATATCCTTAAGAATATATATATACAGATATATATATATATATATATGATATTTTGGTGAGAGATTTCATGAAAAAACTGAAGACTTGAGTGTTGAGAACTGGATATTAGATAATTTGGACAATGCTGAATGTTAAACCATATATTGAGTGGTATGGTGTGATAATATTATTAACACTCCTCTCAACAAATATATTAGCATTATTTATCCATTAAGATGAGGATAAATGAATTTTCTTCTGTGACCAATTAGATTACTATAGATTTATGATATAACAACTCTGCTATGTTTTTAGACATGCTCATAGGGGTGAGACTCAGTGGATGGAGGTAAAATTCCAGAAAAATTTTAGGTCATCCCAATCAAATTCTATGTTGGTTTGATGAAATGCTTTTATACCCAGGAAAAATTACTCCTTTCAAAATAAAAGTCTTTAAAAGAGAAAAGTTTGAACTTGGATTCTTTCCAACTTTAATTGCTTAGTATTTAATCCCCAAATGATGTAGAGGATATATTGGTATATATTATTCTTTTATATAAATATTCATTTTACATTGTTTAAAATTGAGAGAAGCAAAAATGTTCATCTATAATTAGGTTAAGTTGAGTGTCAATTTTTGATAATATATTTTTGTATTATGGGTATTGTTGGATTGGATGATGGCATGCTAGGTGTTCGCAATGATGAGCGGCATTCCTTACATTTCCAATAGTGACCATGAAGAAGATGAGGAGGATTATCGTCCAGAGATGCGTCTTGATGTTGACGACATGAACTATGAGGTAATTATACTTGTCTTTTTCTTGTAATTATTTCAGTTCAAAAATTATAAAAGAAAATAATAAAATTTTTCTAACTATAAAAAACATACTTTATATACATAAGTACAAAATATATATGTATATATGTCATATCTATATATATACATTATGGTGATATTTTTTCGAACTAAATTATGATTTATTAACTAGGAGCTTCTTGAACTTGAAGCTCAGATTAGATACATCAATAATGGGTTAGCCGAGTCCATAATCCTCGAAAATCTGGATTTGAGGATATATCACTCTACTTCACCTGAATCTGAAATATGTTGTATCTGTCAGGTAAGAGCTTTAGTTTACAAGATACGAAATGATCATCCATTAATTAGTGAACCTAAATCATGTTTTGGTTCATAACTTGCAGGACGACTATGAGGAAGAAAATAAAATTGGGAAATTGGACTGCGGCCATGAGTTTCATTCCAGCTGCGTCACAACGTGGCTGATGATGAATAATACCTGCCCTATCTGCAAGAGGAAGGGTTTGGACGTGGCTGATCACTAATCTCGCAATAGCTAAACAATCATATATTAGGTCATCATAGTTTTAGCCTTCTAAAAAATATTATCTTATTTATCTTTATCGTTTATTAGATATAAATAAGGTTTGATTTTATTAAGTCAAGAACATATTTATATATGGTTTAGTTTTCCTTATTATGGTATTGTCATTTTCTCTATACACAAAGACTCATGATTCTTCGAAACTTCTTACTTTTATGGTTCCATGAGTTTGTGCTGCTCATAGATCCAAATAAAAGGATTTTGTGGTTATGGATTGAAAGCTCCGAATGGAAAAAAAAATCATTGAACTTTGTGGGTTTTGTTGAAGATAATATGGTGACTTTAAGACCTTTTAAACAATTTTCATGTCGAGGCTGGTTTGATGCTACACCTTTGATGATCTGATATTTCTTTTGAAATGGATAATAGTTGTGTTTTTTGTACCTTAATTATTTTTGTCTTTATGTTTTGTGTTTTTATTATTAAGTGCATGATTATTTTTAATTATATTGTTAAAATTATTATCTATTATATACAATATGAATTTAGCGAATGACGAGAAATATTTTATATTTTTGATTCATTAGGTATAGTTTTTAAAAATAAAATTCACAATTAGAGTTCCTTTAAAACTATTAGGAGAATGACTTAGTTTAAGATAGATAGATAATTATTTATTATTAATATATTTAGGTAGATCGTTTATTGTTTACTAAGTTTATAAAGTAAGTAATTATCTTGTCTGATATTATGACATAAGTAGAATTTCTATCTTATTTTTTTTTCTCAATATTATTAGTTTATATCATTTTTATCGCGTGAGGAAATCAAGAATTATTTTTTATTACATTTTTGTTTCTAAAAAGTTTAAATACATATTTTTCAAAAAGAAAAGGAAAAAAATTTATTTTTCAACTAAAAATATTATTTACTTTTAAAATTAAATAAAAAAAATATTTTTTAAATATGAAGATTTTCTTTAACTAAATTATGTTTAAGTATATTTTATTTTTCTTCCTTTTGATAAGAGGTAATAATTTTTATTTACAAGTCATCTCTGATATTATGTCATAATTAAAAATTAATTTATAATAGATTCAAATTGTGCATCTTGCTCTAAAATTGGCAATCCAAACGTATGAAGTTAATATGTGAAATTTTAGGTTGACCCACGAATTAATTGTATTAACTATGAGACATGAATTAATACGAGTTGACATTATAATTATAATATTAAAATTATTAAAGAAAGATCTTATTATAGTAAATCTTTAAATGGGCATCACTTTATATATATATATATATGTAAACACGTCTAGCACCATTAAAAATCTATATATCCAATGAGAATACCATGTATAGGAGCATAAAATGTATATCCACTTTGTTTATCACAAACCTTACTGAAGTCGGTGGGTTTTTTGGGGAGAGGATAAATTTGATGACTTGGGTTTGATTTACAAAAGAGTCAATTTTTTGAAAATTTGAATCTTAAATTTTTTACCTAAAAAAATATATATATAATTAATAATTATTATCTTATATAAATTACATAAATAACTTATCAAATTATTAAAACTGATGAATTTAATTAACTTAACGAATTTAACGGTCAACTAATAAATAACGGTCTTATTAACTAAAATTCAAACATTTGTTGTTAATGAATTCAAAAAATAAAAGCACAATAGTGTCTGTAGTAAAATAAACTTATAATTATTTCTATGTAAACTCATTTTTATTTAGAGAAAATAAATAGAATAGAGAGAGACAAAGGGGCATGTATCAAAAGCCGGCAAAAGCGTTACATAATAGAAGCTGTTGGGTAAGGCACTATACCCTCTTGCTAGTATATTTATTTGTTTTAGTTAGTGCATTTATGATTTAATCTATAATTGGAAGTTTCTAGGAGCAAGGATTATTACCCATTATTTATATCTCAAAAACTACCAAATTCATTGTATAACAACTCACCAACCGCCTCTGTTCCCAATTCACTTACAACTTTAATACAGAACTCATTTTAAATCTGTGCTTAAGAAATTTCACTGATCCTTTCAACTATTGTGAACATAGGCGGTTGAACTCATTTTCAATCTATGCTTAAGAAATTTCACTGATCCTTTCAACTATTGTGCTTCTCTCCATCCTACTCAGTATAACCTATTCTCCTTCTTTTTGTTTATCTTTTTCATTTATGGTTAGTACATCTATAATTTTTTATCTATGATACATCTATTATTCATATATTTGTAATTCTTTATCTGTGATATACCAATTCTTCATATATATGTATTCTTTTATCTGTGATATAACTGTGATTCATATATCTGTAATCCTATTTCTACTAGATATGTTATTTATCTATATTTTACATATACATAATTTTTCATCTGTGATCTATCTATGTTTCATAGATTGATAATCTGTTTGTGCTTTCTTGTCTGTATCTGTATGAGTGTGTATGCACATGTTTGGATTTGAGATTTGAGTGATGTTCATTGAAGTTTTCTATTAATTTTATCCTAAATTGATTTGCTTATATTTGATTTGATGTTTTCATCATTATTATTTATTGATCATAGGTTTTGATATTTTATATCGGAATTTGATTTATGTTTTATATTTTTTGTTGTGCATCACTTCTGGACCTAAACGTAGTGTATTTTACTAGAGTTTTGGTTTGTCTTTCTTTTTTGTTGTACTTCATTTAGGGGTTTTGATAAATCTAAATTTTTTGTGCATATTTGTGGGGGTTTTTTTTTTTTTTTAATTTTCAATTTGGTTATATATATATATATGTATGTATATGTTTCAATTGTTTGTGGCATATACATATATCATTCAATAACATAAGCAGTTTTGGATCTTTATTATTATTATTATTATTGCTTAAAAATAATTTCGATAATTTTCTTATTCACAATTTCTACCCTAACTTACAGCTACGAAACATCCTTTTACTAAAATAATTACTGGGTACTTATAATTAGCATTAGATTATTACTATCGTAAGGTAAATATTTACATTTTAAGTTATTCATATTAATCTTTACTTTTCTACTTTATTTTTTTTTGGACTTGCAAATATTTGTCTTTATTTTATTATTATGTTTCCATATATTGTGTTCATTAAAAGTTTTCAAAAAATAGAATAAATTCATTGTATGCATGTATTCTACCTAAATGACTCTATAATAATTTATGACTGTACACTTTAGAAATTAAGTTTTGTACAATGTATCTATTATACCTTATATTAATAAGTTGTTAGCTCGAAAACCAATCATTCATGGCCACTTTAGTCATAAGCATGACACATTCACAAAGTAATTATATTTTGAGAATCTGATTTGGGTCATTCTAAATTATTTGAGTATTATGAGTTTTCATGTACAGTAATTCTGTACCACTTAAAATATTTTCTTTTTCTATAAAAGTATTCTCATATAACTGGTTTTTCACGAGTTTACACCATTGTTATACGAAGAAATAGTTCATATTATTATCTCTTAATTAAATACAATTCAAATCTAGGCTTTTACTATACCATGTATATCAATATGTCTTATTCTAATAGTTATCCACACAAGTATATAAGTAGCCTTCTTTTATAAGTAATTCATGAAAGAACTCTTAGTTCATATGTATGTATAAATATTCAATTCTTTAACCTAGATACTTTCAACCCACTCAATTATACACACCACTTATATTATAGTTTTAATCTAAACTTGTCTAACAATCACTTTCCTTTACTAAAAATATCATAACTTTATGTATCAAACATTGAAGAAAAAAAAAATGATTGTTCATCACAGATCTATCCAGCTAATTATGGCATTTTAATTATTGAGATCACCTTGATATATGTAAAGTACTAATCACCTTGATATATGTAAAGTACTAAGATTAGCAAATATCTTCTAGGATATGTTTGAACTCAAATGAACTTTTTTGTTTAATTCATTTGAAGATTTATACTTAACTGTGAGATGCTGAAAATTTTATTATAAAAAAGTTGGTCTTTTAAAAATTTTCAAGTAGAATTCAATAAATATATTTGAAGTTCTTTACGTTGTTAAATTTTATCATCTTGTAGTAAAAAAATCAACATCTCCTAATTATAAAGTTGAGATTTCTAAATGAATTCCTAAAATGGTTAGTTATTTCATATCAACATATACTACGTGTCCTAGTTTAGGGATTAATTACAAAGTATAATTCTTTTTCGATTTTCTTTTTATACAATTATCTTGTCTTTCTCGATAGGAAATTAGTTATAAGTTGCTTTATAAGTCTTTCAAAATAGAATTTACGTTTTATCCATGCATTCACTATAATTTAGACGATTGCGATTCATCCGCATGTAGTATGAGTTTTTGTACGTACTAGGGGGATCTAGTATCCTTGCATATTTATATGCAATACATACATATTGATCAAATATTTTTTCTTGTTTTATCAACATTATTCATTTAAAGAATTTATACGTTTCTGTTATTATATTAACATTCTCAAGTTTTTTTTGTTTTTAACAAAAATTTACT